GGGAGATCACTTTGCCCACTGCCTCATCGCCTTTGAAAATGTCCACCGCAGTTGTGGACGAAACGTCAGGAAGAAATTCCGATAGACCACGGCTTCAAAGCCCGGAAAACATTCCTAAATGTAATCTGACCGGCCGTGAAAGCCTTCATAGTCTGATAAAACTATAACAATCGGAAGATTGGCGGATTATGTAAAATAATTAAACAGGCTTAGGTGTAGCTCCAGGTTGAAAGGCTGTAACGCTTTGCATTGCCCTACGCACCTGTTCAAGAGCTCCATAAAGTCCACCAGTAACAATTCCGTTAGTCCAGTCGCTCCAGGCGACTGCGGGCCATCCTCCATTGCAACCGCCTGCTGTTCCACACGTAAGCAAGTCTTGCGAGGAAACCAACAGCTTCTTGGTAGCGTTTGAGTGGATGCAAATTCGGTCAGACATCGCTTCTACGGCCGCAAATGCCTAGAGATTCCATGTTGATTATTTGACATGACTTATTAAATTAACGGCATTAAGAGTGTATGTTGGTACGTTCTATATGTTTCTGTATATTCGGTTTTTTTCAAAAAGCAAAAAGTTTGAGGTGAAATCTCGAGCAAAAAGGTTTCGAAGACATCAAGAGTATCTTACCCAGCAAGATCCACATCGGGACTGATCTCTAATCATTCCAATGATCTGTGTACATTCGGGCCAAGCTGTGCGCGAGTCAAAGGACTCAGGAATTTCTTCGGTAATCTCGCGAACTAGTTTCTGAGCTGTTTTCAGACCTTGTGGTTTTTTCACACCAGAAGCCAGCGATTTAAACAGCTCGTACTCGTCAATTGCAAAGTTTCTTCCCGCTTTCCATGTGGACTGTTTGCTGTTGATTTGCGCAATGTACTCATCGGATAGGGGATGAGGTTTGTTGCTGGGAAGAGCTGAGCTCAGGCCCAAAGCGAAAACTAGCATCAAAACCGACTTCATTTTGACGAATAGTGGATGCTTGAATATCCATCGGGTTTATATAGTCAGGTTTAAGTGTCTGGTGGTACTTAAAAATGAGTATTGTTTGGTTTCAAGCATGTGCAGCACAGATCCGAGATCGGGCCATTAAAAAATTGCCAATAGATTAGGAAATATACGGAGTTAATGGGAAGTGGTAGCTATGCGAAGCGATGTCCATGGATTAACTGATTTGTGTTAGAGTTTTGAAATTTGTTATTAGTGGGTTTGTTTTTGGAGTTTTCTGCGAAGAATTTTTTGGGTTTAAGGGAGTAAAGCTGATGATCTGAGGATCCTCCGGAAAAAACGCAAAAGTACACACTTGCGTACTGATTATTTGTTTTAATTAAATACATTTATCTGGAATCATTCACTTGACTAACATCTGATTGTTGCTGGATGCGGTATCTGAAATAATTTAAATTGCTAAACCTATTGAGTTGAATTTTGCTAATTCAGGTTCAAACTCTCATCTGCGTGCGTTCTAAATCAGGATAATCATTTTGGTTTTACGTATTTGGTGTATAGATAGGGCGAAATTTTGGAATTTAGCCCGCAACTCTATGAGTAAGTCACCAAAGGGTGAAACAGCTGGAGCTAAAAATCAAATATAAAAAGTCATCAGTGTTATAAATTGAGAAGATTAATTCATATTTTCCATTAAATTTTTTAGTTAAGCTCCCAAAGCGATGATATAAATACTGATCATATCAAGCCATACTCTCATTACATGAGTTTTATCAAAAAATTGCCCAATTTATCACTGAACTGGTTAACTTCACCTCACAACATCTGTGTTCATTGTTTACAAAACCGTCTGGATCTCTTATCTCAGTCTGATTTTAAAGGAAAGTTTTCTGGTGTCAAAATTTGATTAAGCGGTTGAAATGAAGGCCTTCTTCAAGCCATTGTGGAGACGGAGTTTCCTCAAAAGTTCAAGATCAAGAACAATCTGCTGGAAAACTTTTAAAAGTTTTCCTGCATGCTAATTTTGATGCGTGTTTCCATCAATTTGAATAAAGTCTTAATAGTTCAGTATGATTTTGTAGACTCTGGATCACCTTGTTTATATTACGCAAATAGTTGCATCACGACTAGTCTTGTTATAAATGATAATGGACGATGAGCTTCAAAGCTGCGGTCATAAACATGCAAAATACATACATTTGATCAACATTTTGTAAGTTCTTCAAGCGCCAGTGTTGCCCAAGATGCAAATATTCTATTGAAAGCGTCGTTTAAACTGAATGCGAAGAGATGTGATCTCATGCTTAGCTTAATTGTTTTCCTGCAATACATTTGAAACGAAATAGCGCCATTATTTATTTAAATCACCAAATGCCAAGGCGACCACAGCTACGTAAACTACATTAAGTGTCGGTTATTTATTGTTCACAATTTTAATGCAAACGTTCTTATTTAGCGCCCTAAGAACCAGGATAGGCCGGTGTGGGAGCAACATATTAAGTTTTCATTGTTTTTCATGTCAGGCCACCATCAAGAGATATATCAAATTAAATAGGATATCCTTTCGTGCATTCAAATTCAACTATTGCGACGTTCGAATTTAAATGTTGATTAACAATTTCGAATTTGTATGTGTTTTTAACGCTACTTTGACTGGAACGGGTCGGCAGCTTGATGCCACCGTTTAATTTATACCGAGTGATTCATTCATCCGAAATTAACTTAAAGGATTATTATTTGGCAAAACTGAGATACTGGCCTTTAGGGACCAACGTAACTTTGCCACCTGCTTAAGAGTAAATCCATCAAATAAACCTGCTTACTTTTCGGCTTATAAGGTACCAGGCAGGTGTTGAAAGCGCGACTAAGATGAAAATTTGTATAAACCTCATAGCTGATAAACCTCTGAATAGTGATTATTCAAGAAAGAATATACCTAAATTACACTACGCAAAGGACAGGTGGAAAATGCTCTTTAGTTAAGTAAGTGATTATTGGCAATTAAGAAACCTCTTTGAAATCTAGATTCTTTTATTTGATCATCCAAAGTTCAATCTTCTAGGCCTGGGTAACACTCTGTTGAGTTGCTCTATTGAGTTGTTGTCGCTCTTTGAGTTACCCAGTTATAACTCATCGGTTAATGAGTTATAATTTATTTGTTAAAGCTTTACGAGACCCAAGACTGGAGTTTTCACATCCAAAAAAGGGTTATTAACAATTTTTCTCAGTAACGTTTTACTACTTTGTTCAAGCAAGTAAAAAATAATGTACATTTTTTCTGCAACAGAACTGAGTCCAAAGAAAGTCGACGAGTTTTCTTGTTTGTTGTGTGTTTTCTTGATCTCTTCATTTTTGAGCATAAAAGATTCAGGTTGCCAGTATTTTACAGTAAAACGTTAGGAAAAATGCGTTTTTTTTCTTTGAAGACAGTGTTGTTTAGAAATATGGACACAAAAGTGCAGAAACTCCAGTTTCCAAGAATTTTCCAAATAAATAATTATTAACTTTCACTTTTTCAGTTCGGGGAAATATTTTTGGAAAAAGACCTAGAAATTATTATGGTTTTGGCCATAATTCAAAGCTACAAAAAGTTTTCCAAACATTTTTACAAAGCGGTTAAGGAGGCGAGTGTTCCAATAAAATGTATCTTATAATTTTTCACAGAAAATACCTGGAGATTGTCAGTATTTTAAGTAAAACTATAGAATAATGCGATTTTTGGGTAGAAATAATTGTTTAATAGAAACTTTGTTTAAACTGGAATGACCTGAAAACTTAAAGGAACTTTAAAAATCAGATCTTCAGAGCGATGAGGGCGGTGAACTTTCCAAATAATTTTTTGTAAACTTTTGCCCTCTGGTCGTTTTTTCAAGACAATCCTAATTGTTTTGGATCCTCTGAAGTTCCCTGTAAACCGATGAATGAGGCGAACTTTCTAGCAAAATTAATTTTGGAATTTTTGGCTGAAAAGACCCCATTATTGTCAGAAAAGAGGAAAATTATCAGAAAATAATGCTTTTTTACGTTTTCGATTAAAAACTTTTCGTTTTCTTGCCTGTTTTGAAGAAATCCTTAAAGGTTTTTGTACCAAAATCGACGCTGAAGAAAGGTTTTGTGAAATGTTTACAAAGCTATAAATTTATCTTGTAATTTTTCGCGTATCAGTCCTCCAGATCGTCAGTAGTTTTAAGTGAAACTCTACAAAATAGAGCCTTTTTGAGTAGAAAGTAAGGAACAAAAATTCAGGCAAAACTAAAAAGCCACATTTTGAAACAAATTCTATAGTCTTCAGAGGATTCTTGGTGACGAGATTTCCAAATAATCTGATATCCTTTCGCTTATTCTGTTCGATTTTTGATAAAAAAATATTTGATTTTTGTTCCAAATTCAAAGCTGGAAAGGGATTTCAAAACTTTTTACAAAGCGACGAAGGATTCGAAATTTATTCATAATTTGTCGCGGAAAATACCTTAAGATGATCAGCATTTTTAAGTGAAACTTTAGAAAATTGAGCATTTAGGAGAAAACGTAACTTTGCCAAAACTGGAAAATTCTGACATTTGAAGACATTTTAAAAATATTATTAATAACTGGCCTGTAAAATAAATCTAAAACAAGCAAAAAAAGTCATCAACATTTTCCCAGCACCGGAACTGAGATACTGCGCCGCTGCGTTGGGTTGGCGCACCAAGCCATTTACACGACACTGCGCCAACTCCTAAAAATTCACCGAGTTACCCATGCCTACAATCTTCTACAAGGCTACATGTTTTGTATGATTTCCATCGCTTTTATACAGAAGATTTGGAAAATCCATGGCCTATATTCGATCACCTGTTCCGAATATCTCGGGAATACTGAGCTGAATAATTATTATCGGAGATATGAGGCCCGATGCATAATGATGACAGAGGTGCACAGAAGTAACTTTTCACGGCACGCATTTCTTTATTTTAATTCGTTTCAAACTGAAGAACTGGAACGTATTTAATTTGCATTTAAAGTGGAATGACAGTGTACGTTTGCTTATTTAAGTACAGCGAGTGAATAATGTTCTGGGTGGGTACGGCTGGGTTATGTTCAAATTACCCATTATTGTGCTATTAAAACGCAAATGTATTGCAGTGGATTAAATGATAGGCAACTTATACTTGATTGCTCGATATCGCTGTTTTTACCGCGACTTGGCCAACTGCTTAAAAGTTACAAATTTTAAATCATCAAGTTTAGTCTAGGGAAATGTGTGAGGAAGGGTGTGACCGCTATGTGAGAGCCGATATAATGGACAAATTAATTTAAAACATTTTTTAAACTCTACTGCATCCACAAACAATATTTGAGCAAAAATATTGTTTTAATTTTGCTGCCCAAATTGGGAGGATTGTTGATTTAGCCTGCTGCCTGTTTTAGTTTTTATAAATATTTAATTATTTAATCGAAATAATTTAAAGTTGGCTCACTTTACATGGAAATTGGTTTAGAAAGTAGTGGAAAGTACAAATAAGCATGCCTTTAGTGAAGTTAAGTGCCCATTATTCAGTTGCAGCGTCAAGCACAAAAGTAGTTAGTTTTTTGCGTTCGCAAATGAGCTTAGAATTTAATTCGCTCATCGGATTTTAGCTGATAAAATGTATGGAGTTGTTTAGCGAAAATAAATGTCACTTTTAGGATTAAATTGCAAAATATTTCAACTGTGTCGGGGTTTATAGCGACTGGTTTCAGCTGTTAATGTCAATTTAAGCAAATTATTGGTAGTTTTGCGATAACTTGCTGAAATATTAATGAAACGCTGGAAATTGCGGTAAATTATGACTTTTCAATGCAAGCCATATATTTTTCAATTTTCCAGCAAGAACTGTAAAATATTTCTTTTCGCGGAACGATTTGAAAGTTTTGTAGTTAAAACTGCTAGTAAATAAGCTTTGCCTAATTTAATGCAAATGTTTTATTGAGCTTTAAGAACTGCTGAGACAAATTGTAGAATTGGTGATTTAGTAGCAATAATCGTCACTGTTGGGTTCATACAGTGAGAATATGGCAAGTTTATTATTAACTTTCGAGATGAAGCTGAACAATTTAATGAATGAGAATATTTTTACCAATGAAAATCTAAGCTTTCTCTCAATAATTGCAATTTTTGTAACAAAAAACTGTACGTGATACCTTTTTATGGTTTGCAGCTTGCCCCTTTTTGAGGCAAAAGTCGACTTTGTTTGCCCTAAACAGCCTTACTGGCTTGATAAAGTTTAAAAACCGTAAACTTTTTCAACTACATTGTACATATTTACATTAAATAAATCAATTGATATTGATTAATGTAATAAATTAAATTATGCAAATTAAATGTATAAATAAAACCAGTATCAATCAGCAAATATCCTTATAATTAGCAAATACAAGGATAATTCTCGGTTTATTCATTGATTACTAATGATATTCGGTCTGTAAGATTCTAATCTATTAATTTTTTTCATATAATTCAATATTGTAATGTGGGACAAACAGCTTTGATTCTGTTCCTTTCCATATCTGTTTTACTCTTGCTTTATTAAATTAATGGATAATTTGCCAAAGTTTCGGTCCATTAGTAGGTGATGTCCATCAAGTTTTCAACGCCGTTTACCAGTTTTTCGACTTTGGTTTCACTTTACACATTTTGCGTAACTTTCCAACTTTTTCTGCTTATTAAGTGTTGCATTTAAGCTTTCATCTGTACAACCGATTCCTTGCCTTACTTTTGTCTTTGAATTTAGGACGCGGCACTTTTTATTTGCTCATTAAACCTTTTATGCTTAATCAAAAAATATTCCACTGTTTTCGGAAGAGAAGAACCCTTTCGACCTCAAAGAATCGTTTATCGGCGTCTTTTAAAATGAATGACGATTGTCTTCAACGTTCCTAGTTATCAGGGAGGCAGTTGGTTTTGCACTTAAATAACAGGGAGAATTTGCCGTCTAAAAAGCTCCAAATCCTCGATATAACCGGAAAGGTATCTAAATAAATATGCCATATGTTCACAAACAAACAATTAGACAATCTGCCCACCTACGTGACGCCCTAATGATCCTTTTCGTTGAGTCACGACCGGACCATTCTGAAGAAGCCATCCTACCATTCTTCTAGGCCGGTTGCACCCGGTAGAAAAGCGCTGAAATTACAGAAAACCGGTGTTTGACGGAAACGAGACGCATTTTCTACGAATATGATTCAGGTTAAAATATCTGAGATGTTTATTCTGGTTTGTGCGGCTGTTTGTCAATCGGCGATGTCACACAAATTGCGAACAGGTATTTTTAATAAAATTTACAAACTGGTCGCTTCCTGTTAGGCCATTAGAGAAATATGTCCATCGTCGCGCTTAATATTTAATTGTCGGCTGGGTTTGCGGGATGGGTTGTCTCGTCAATGATGAGGTCATCTACCCATTAACTTTATTAATTACTATAATCGGTTTCAAGGCAGGTTCTTGCCGAAGACAATCTGGCTTTGGCAGGACGTCTCAAAACATAAGTGGTAGTCCAATCAAACATTCGGACATTGTCCATTTAGGCACATCATTTTTATATTGATGCCATTTACGGTTCTCTTCTCTTATCCTCTGTATGATAGGTTTTATTCCATCGATGATGTGGAACAAGGGGGTGAGAGCAACACTCTCATTGTTGCATTCATCCACATGAAACAAGAGCCTCTTGAGAGTGTTTGAAGAACTGAATTGTTAATCAGATGGTCGGGTTGGATGAGGTTCTGTTCCCAATTTCGTGGCTTTTTCACCAACGACTCTCGCCTAATATCAGCGATGGTCCGTGTTAAGTCCTTATGGTTTAATTGAAGCTTATTTTTTTTGTTTCAATTGAAACCGATCATGATCGTTTTGCCGTACTCTATTGGGAACGAGGAAAATCCGTCACTTAAAATAGTGGGTTGGTCGTGAAAAAAATAACTCTGAATATTTGATTTTGATCAAAAGCCCAGTTTTCTTCAATACAAGGACTAAACATTATCCCAAATACACCTGCAACATTGGCAATTGACTTGTTTTAAGAACATCGTCTATTTGCCTCTTTTTAACATCTTTTTCTAGAGTGCATTGCATTTCTGCATATAAGAATCAGTTTACAATAAAGACACTTGAAGATTCTACATATTCAAAAACTGCAAATTTCGCTTGTCCCCGCCTCAACCATATAGAACTTAATCATGATGTAACTATATGCCAAAAATACCTCGTTCCATTCCGGAATTCCTTCAAACCGAATCCGAATCTCCATACCCAAAAGGAAAACGAAATAAAAAAATGCTTACACGATTACATAATCGGCCGTTTAGATTGTAACGAATGTATTTCAAGTCTAGGACATCCAAACAAACAATAGCGAACAAGATGCGTCCATCGGCTCGACTTGAAGGGACCTTAACCTAAGTTAACTTGACAACCCACTTGATAAATCTGTTCCTGTGGCCCCATGATGAATCACTTATAAATAAAACCATTGTTGGTCCCGGTAACTTCATTTATACCGGAGGTTGCTGGTGCGAAGGCCCAGATGAGAGTGACCGTAGTAGTTTTATGTTTTTTCTTTTTTTTCGTTCTTTCTTTCTTGTCCGCTTAGACTTTGAATGCATTTGAATATCGACGTTTCCACTTCCAACTGTTTGGGATATATTTAATATGCAAATCGGGGATATTTCGTCTTAGGCATTTGCCTATGAGAATCCACCTATTTCATAGGAAGTTATACATTATGAAATTTGCTTTAATTGCTAAGTTATTTGCCCTGTCATTTTCGTCATGTGTCACTTCTGTCATGTAAAATGTCATCGCTAACTTGATGCAACTGGGTCAACTAATACATAGAGATTTTTTAAGCTTAGTCGATTGTTTTCGACTTAAGGTGCTCCCCAGTTTGCATACTTAATCAATAAAGCTTAAAATGCGTTCAAATTAGGCCGTAGGTTATTCCGGATCAGATGAATCAAGCACTATATCTGAGCTAGTGGAACTCGAAAATTTTAGGCATTTTATGCAAGTTACAAAAGGATGCTTGTTGGTGTGTTTTCTTCTTAACGGTGACAATCTCTTCAAGTCTCAATAGAAAACTGATTTTAGTACTTGCATAGTTAAAGGCTCAAGAATAAAATGTCGTTTTTAAAAAGTAGTTGAAAAGTGACTCAGATGATAACTTTAACCATCTCAATTAAAAATAAACTTATTTGGCTTCATATCATCCCTTGGAGGTAATTTATTTCCAAAAGTTGATTAATGCTAAGTTACTTTCATGCTTAACTCAAGTGCACTGACTAAATGTACAAGCAGTCGCAGGCCTTCCCGAAGGATTAAGAGTGGACGCAATTTATGTCCGTTAAGAAACCGCGCAAAATGGGTCGAAAATGTCGATTATTTCGGTTCTAAAGCTTCTAGTGTGCTTTCCGATGAGTTCAAAGCATTCCTCGATTGGTTGAGATGAAAATAATGCAGAGTTCGAAGTATTTTAAAAGATTTGATATTTTGTGCAAAAATGGATTTCGACCCATTAAAATTTTTCGGTCAAAAATTTAAATTTTACATCTATGTTTTTTGAGCTCAATAGATTGCTCTTGAATCAGGGAGCTCCTCAATAGTGATTAAATCAATAGTAAGAAAAATATCATCAGTTAAATATCGTGATTGTTCAAAAGCCATTTAAAATGGGTTAAATATGTCTATTATTTCGAATCAAAGTATCTAGCGTGGTTTTCAAAGAGCTTCCTTAAATGAAAATTATGTAGAAATCAAAGCATTTTGAGAAACTTTTGTTTTGAAAAAAATGTACCTCTACCCCTTAGAATTGCATGCACATTTTTTGAGCCCAATAGACTCTTCTTGCCTTAAGAAGCTCCCCGATATGCATATAAAAAGTGATTGGGTTAATAATAAGAAAAATATCGCCGGTTAAAAAATGTGGCTGCTCAAAACCCACTTAAAATGGGTCGAAAATGGTGAGTTCGTTCTATTTTCTCGCTTCTTTCTGATAAAAAGTATGTTTGTGATAAAAAGTTGTATAAAACTGTCCTCTTCTTCAGATTGAAATTTTTTCGCATTCTCCCATAGAACCGTATTAAAAGACTTATGTAGTTAAAAAGAGAAAGTGTTCATTTTCAAATACTAGTCACCAAAAGAGTGACGCAGATGGTGACTCAACGACCACCTCAAATTCTGAAAAAATAACATCTTTCTTCCTCTGATAACACTGCATTGTTATTTGTCTTCATATCATCCCTTGCCGGTAATTTATGGCCAAAAGGTGAAGCTAATGCTACTTTGCAGCTAATGGCGTTCAACGGTGACGTGTTTCCCTAGAAATTCGAAAATAGTCTTCTTTCAGTCAATGAAATCAGCGGGATGGCAACTGGACTGTTCTTTTCAGTTACCGTCGATGGCTTCCGGTGAAACTGTCTAGGCGCGCCGATAAAACCCCCCATAATCTACCTGCCCTCAAATACGGCATTGTTTGATTTTCCGTATTTCAAATAATGCTCCTGAATCTTGTAAAATCATGTAAAAAGTGGTGCAAACTTGGATTTTTTCAAATTTGTGCTTCTGGCGTTGCTATTTATACTAACCCAGTACGACATTTACAACTCATTCCTCTCTCAACCAACTGGTGAAATTCGCCGGTCTACGGGAAGTTAATCAGCAAATTTTAAGAAAGTAATAATAACGATCTAAGCAATTAAAATTTGCAATAGTAATAACAAGTAATAACCCGAGAACATTAGCGAAATATGTGAATGTATGGTAAATGAGTGCAGTTGAGTAATAGGGCATAACATAGTTTCATGCGTGTTGCAATTGCGGAGTGCAACGAAAGGAAAATGAACTGCACTAAAATTAATTAACAGTCATTCGTGTATTTTGTCTTTTGTGTGATTGAAGGCGGATAGGAAATGGTAAAATAGCGCTAGTTAATGTTTCGCGACCAATTTGCACAACGAATGATTGATAGGCTCGCTGATTAAGATCGTATATGCAAGCATTTCCCTTATCTAAACACAATGGATCATTCGAATTCAACTGATAATAATTAACAAGTTTCGTAGTCGAAAAATGTTCCTAATGCATTATTCATAATTCCAGCTCACTCGCTCACAACTCCTGACAAATCAGAACAATTAACTGTGAAGTATCCGCCTTGTTTCGGTTTTATTTCAGCTATTTTTCTGTAGTTATGTAGTCGTTTATAGTTTAACATAAGTAAAACTGTAACTGAAACCACAATAGCTAACAATGGGCCTATTGTATCAATAATTTAAATGTAAAATATGACCCATTGTTTTTATTCTCCTAATGGAATTTTAACGTGTTACGAGTCATTTTTTTCGGAAGGTACATACGTTTCGTCGTAATGATGGGTTCCGATGCTAAACATGGGGGCTATTTAACGAAAATTATGGCCAGTTTTTTTGTTGTCCATTTAATATTGTAAATTATTGTCTTGTTGCATTCGGGTACTTTCACTTTGGTAATTATTATTTGTACTTTGAGCTTTTCTACTTGGGTTTTTTAGGGCCGGAAGGTGTCTCGTCCAACAAGAAGACACGAGTTTTTCACTTTCAAGTATTTTATGAAAGGTTGCGGTTCGATTACATATTTCAGATGATTTTAAGTCTAATTTGAGGAACGTTTGGAAATATTGTGGATATTTTATTATTTGATATCATAGTATGAACGGGAATAAAAGTTCTGTTTGTGTTTTGAACAGCTTATTTTTGCTAAATCGTCGATTTTTTCAGTATCTGACGTAGACCCACAAAGAGGACCATTTAAACAATGAAGTTAATAAATCTTTGCATTTAGTATTGAAAAGTAGTTTAAAAAGCAAACACTTTCTGATTTGTTCACGGTCTTTTAAAGGACATCAACATTTCTTCGCCAGCCTAAAAACTCATATCCTCTATAGAAGAAAATTTTCAATTTGTTGCTCTACTCATTTGTTAAGACAAAGAATATAAATACTTTTCATAAAGCGTGATTTCTGCTCTGAGCATTACCTGTCCTAGCAAAAATAGATTTGGTTTTCGTCTTTAGTTAGTCCCCTTTTGATTAACAGCTTAGAGGTGCATAATCTTAAACAGACATGACATCTTTTATAATGAAAAATTATAAACATTTTTTATTGCAAAAGAAAATAAATAATTTTTTGCGTTGCAACAGATTGTTTAAAATCACGAATTTTGCTTTTAGTTGCATTCGTGATGTTAAGTTTGCAAGCAAAATCTACTTATATATCTCATAATACGGAAAACATAAATACGGTCAACGACGAGTGCACTGATT